GTCAAAATAATACATTATAGGGAAGACAGCAGCGCATTGTAACCAGAATCTGCATCTACAGCCCTGATCTTGGCCACAAAGTAGCCCGCATCAACAGAATAGGGAATGTTCTCCGTGTTAACGGAACCGAGCTCGGAATAGGGCGCGAGAATCCCGGGACTGTTGTCATTCTCATCCAGGATAAAAACATTGACAGTCACGTTATTGTTGAGCGGAGGAACACCAGAGTCTGTGGCCTGAACTTTGAACTCAAACGTTTTTATCTCCTCATAGTTAAAAGACTGTAAACTGTGTATAGCGGAGTGCCTTCATCAGTAGCTGTGATAGTCACGTTATACTCATATGCGCGCTCCCTGTCTAAAGGCCCGTTAACAACTAAAGTATAATAATTCTTGTATGAGTTCTGAACTTTAAAAGAAGCAGAGCCCTGAATCTTCAAAGTTACCTGTCCATTTTTACCAGCATCTTTATCAGTTACAGTTATCATTCCAACCATTGTGTCAATCGGAGCATCTTCTTTTACAGTATTAACTAAAGATGTTACAGAGATTTTTGGAACATTATCGTTAATGTCAACAATTTCCAGTAGCACTTTACAAAGAGCAGCTCTTGGCTTATGCCCTTTGTCTTTTGCCTGCACGCGGAGCTCCACAGCATTTTTTCTTTCGTAATCTACATCACCTTTTACTGTAATCTCGCCAGTTTCCGGATGTATTAAAAATGAATCTACGTGTTTATCGTTATTGTGATTGACTAAAGCATAAACAATCTCACCATTGACACCCTCATCTGGGTCGCTGGCTTGGACTCTAATAATGGAAGTACCAGGTGGTGCGTTTTCATTTACGCGAGCTTTATACAACGATTTACTGAAAACAGGAATATTATCGTTGATGTCTTCTACATTTACAATTATCTGCATTGTTCTTGATCTTGGAGGTTTTCCTCCGTCTACAGCGGTTAGTGTGAGCTGTATCACCGGCTGTTTCTCTCGATCTAAAGCTTTTTGTAGCACCAATTCAGCAGACACACTCTGCTCTCCTCCGCTCTGAACATCGAGAGAAAAGTGTTCATTCGGACTCAGTTTGTAGCTCTTTACCGAATTACTGCCCACATCTGCGTCAAACGCGCTCGGCAGAGCGAACTGCTCCCCTGGAAAAGCTAATTCTGAAATATTTAGGGTTGTCTTTGCCGTAGGAAATATTGGTGAGTTATCATTAATATCAAGTACATTTACCTCAAATCTGTATATATTCAAAGGCGAGTTAACAATTGCTTCTAGAGGTAAAGAACACTTCACATTCTGTTCACATATCTCATCTCGGTCTATTCTGTCATTAACTAGCAGAATACCAGTCTTTACATTGAAATCGAAATACCTTCGGTTGGTCTCCGACACAATTTGAAATCCACGTCTTTCAATGTCCTGTAAATTCAAGTTAAAATCCTTAGCTAAATTTCCAACTGCCGTGCCTGGGTTTACCTCCTCCGTTATGGAATACACAATCTGCCCATCTGTAAAAATACCAAAGCGAAGAAAGACACTATAAAATATCCACACGTTCAAAATATGTCCCTTTGTTAAAGCCATTTTACCAGACCATTGCAGTGTATGTTAAATCACCGAAATTCTTCCGCATGACTGTAAAACACTTTCTGCTAAATTCACGAGTGGACTGTTTCCGAGAACAATGGCGTACGACTAACAAAGCCCTTATCCAGGAAGACAGAACAAGAAAAATAGGAGGAGCCTCGTCTTGTCAGGAATGCTCAAACAACAGACAGATACTGACATCGCGCGGATAAAACTGAGCATCACATCAAGAAAGCAAAACATTCTTTTTCAACCAACCAATTACTGAAATAAATGAACTTTTCCACGACATTCTAATTTATTGAGATGCACCTGTATTTCAGCTGAATGGCAAATTAACACAATTTTTAAATATCAGCGAAAAATGTACTCAAACAGCACAAAGAGACACAAAAAGCACGGCTTTCAAAATTACGGTCAGGAAGCAAAGCCAAATTAATGTAGACGAAAGGGGGCTTTTAAAAAATGTATACATGTGTAAAGAGAAAGTTTGCTCAGCAAACTTCTTACATTAAACTGTTTGCATTCAGCTAAATTTATCACCTCGTACGAAAAAAAATGCAGATTGATTGATTGTCCGTATTGCATAATTCAATAACATCTTCTGTTCCAAAATAAAAACGCATTACATGTGTTATACGACAGGACAAATAACTGTTACCTTTCAATACAAAGTGTTCCGCTGCTGAATGAGCTCTAGTTATACCAACAATAAACAATATAGAACAATGCAATGTCCATCATGTCTATCGTGTTTCATCTGCACTCTAAGCTAAAAACTACAATATTTTGTAACTATAAACAAAATAATAAATAGTCAAGACAGCAGAGAGAATGCCAATTATATATGCAGCTCAAAATCATAAGACTTAATTCACCAATGAAACAAAATATGTAATCACTTACATAAACATTAATGACGGGCTCTGGAAAGCGCGGCGCGTTGTCATTCACATCAGAAACGTGTACAGTAATGACACTGGTGCTAGAGAGAGGCGGAGTGCCTTCATCAGTAGCTGTGATAGTAACGTTATACTCAGACGCGCGCTCTCTGTCCAGCGGACCGTCTACAACCAGAGAATATTTATTCTTATAAGTATTCTGTATACGAAAGGGTGCAGAATATTGTATCTTAATAACAACGGCACCGTTTTTTCCCGCGTCTTCGTCTTTCACGGTGATCAGTCCCACCATTGTACCAGCAGCAGCGTCCTCTCTCACTGTTTCAGCAAGAGATGTTACGGAAATTTCAGGTACATTATCATTAACATCAACAATTTCAACTAATACTTTACAATGAGCAGCCCTGGGTTTCGGGCCTTTATCTTTTGCTTGGACACGAATTTCTACGGCATTCCTTGCTTCGTAATCAATATTCCCTTTAATAGAAATTATGCCACTGACAGAATCAATAGTAAAAGCGTTGGCAATATTGTCATCGTCATCACTGCGTATAAATGAATAAACTATTTCTCCATTCAAACCCTCGTCAGCGTCACTAGCATGGACAGTGACAACCGAGGTGCCAGGGTGCGCATTTTCCATAATTCTTGTTTTGTAAAGAGATTTACTAAATACAGGGATATTATCGTTTGCATCCTCCACATTAATAATAATTTGTGTTGTTCCGGATTTTGGAGGTTTTCCTCCGTCTACAGCGGTCAATGTGAGCTGAATAACAGGCTGTTTCTCTCGGTCTAAAGCTTTCTGCAGCACTAATTCAGCCGACACACTCTGTTCTCCTCCGCTTTGAACATCCAGAGAAAAATGTTCATTCGGACTGAGCTTGTAGCTCTTCACCGAATTACTGCCCACATCCGCGTCAAACGCACTTGGTAATGTAAATCTCTCACCCGGGAAGGCTGATTCTGCGATATTTAACTCTGTCTTTGGTGACTTAAAAGTAGGAATATTATCGTTTATGTCTACAACATTCACCTCAAGTCGATACATGTTTAAGGGGGAGTTAACAATAGCTTCTAATTCCAGAGAGCATTTGCTGCTCCTTCCGCATAACTGTACCCTGTCTATTTTCTCTTTGACGAGAAGAACACCACTTTTTAAATTAACGCTGAAATACCTTTTGTTTGGGCCTGAAACGATCTGAAACCTACGATGCTCTAATTCTTGAAGATTTAGGTTCAAATCCTTCGCTATATTTCCCACTGCGGTTCCCGGATCAGCCTCCTCCGATACCGAATACACAATCTGCCCATCGGTAATATTCCAAATTGAAAACGTTGCAATAAAATACATCGACCATTTAAATCCGTGTTTCGACATTTTTATAATTCCTTCAATAAATTAGTCTCATCCATTCGGTGATTTAACAGCACAACGCCGTAATTCCTCACAGCTCCTGCAAAAACAGAGACAGTAAAGTGGCCTTTCCTGAACAAAAGCCCCACGTGATAAACTGAACCCTCCCTAACTGAGGAGGAGCTTTGCATAGCTGCGGTAAGAGAAAATCCCGGTCTCTAACGACACCGCGCGGACAAATATAGGCGAAGAAGATAATTCAGTATAAAGGGACCCAATGTCTTACAATCACAATAGAAGAATTTCAAACTATTTATATTTATAATTATATTATTGAACAATGTTATTAGTGGATAATTCAAATTCAGCAAAAACCTAACTGTATACTGTTTATATTTGTAAGTTTTGTCAATTCACACTGCACTTCAAGAAAATCAAAACCAGGGAAAATGAAGTTTCATTACATTAAAAAATGCTATAACAAACTTGTCAAAAACATTAATTTCTCTGTCTTTCTCTTTTTATTTATTTATTTATTTATTTGTATGCATGTTTGATTTTTATTTATTTATTTATTTATTTATTTATTGCATCATATAAATGTTGTGATTCTCACGTCAAGAAAAAAATTAGGCTTTACGATCAGAGGTGACTAAATCTGCTTTCTTGATGTTTGAGCGCGAGTTGCTCAGTACCACTAACAGCCCCAAATACATATAAAGAAAAAACGCATTGTAAAACAATGCAATGTCCAATGTGCGAAAAATCTTTATCTGTACTCTAAGGGAATAACTACAATATTTTATAAACACAAGCAAAACAATACATGACCAAAACAACAGAGAGGACGGCAGTTAGCTATGTAGCTCGAAAACCAAACAAGCACTAAATTCGCCACAATTTATACATGGCAATTTAAGATGAAAGAACTGTGGATTTCGATATTTGCGTTTTCAGCACCACGGACAGAGGGCATTAGCGCAAAAGACGATACAAACCTGTGCGCAATAGAAATAAATATTTAGGAAGAAATAAAAAATGATTCATAATTTCCTCCCCTCAATCTTAATATTGGAAAAAAAATGACACATAGCAAGAAAAATTCAAGAGAAGAAAATCAGCTCTAAACCACAGTGAAGAGAAAAATGCGTTTTCATCACTTTTAATAAAAATATCTTACCTTTTCTTTATTAGGAAGTGTTTGTGTTTATCACTGGCCTGTGCGCGGATCTCAAATGCATTGTTCTCCTCGAAATCTATATTGCCTTTAACTGTGATAACACCAGCATTCGGGTCAATATCAAAGATCTGTAGAATTTTATTTTGATCTCTTTTAATTATAGAATAAACAATATCACTATTACTACCCTCATCAAAGTCTGTGGCATTTAGCACAGCAATTGTCGTTCCAATAGCCAAATTTTCAAAAACAGTCGTTTTATACAACGGCTTGCTAAAAACGGGAGTATTGTCGTTATTATCCAAAACTTTAATAATTATAAGAGATGTGCCTGTCTTAGAGGGTGTTCCTCCGTCTACAGCGGTCAATGTGAGCTGGATCACAGGCTGTTTCTCTCGATCTAAAGATTTCTGCAGCACTAACTCAGCAGACACACTCTGATCTCCTCCTTTGTGCACAGCTAAAGAAAAATACTCGTTCGAGCTAAGTTTGTAAGTGTTTATTGAATTTTTCCCAACATCTGCGTCTGTAGCGTGATGGAGAGGGAATCTAACACCAGACAGGGTGCTTTCCGCAATGTCTAACGTTTGTGATTTCTCACTAAAAGACGGAGAATTGTCGTTAACATCCAGAATATTAATCTCTATTTGATAAAGCTTCAGTGGATTGTTGATAACCGCTTCTACACTGAGAGTACATTTAGGTGCTTTGGCACAAAGCTCCTCTCTATCTATGCTTTCGCTCACATAAAGAAATCCAGTTTTTAGATTTACCTCGAAATATTTTTTCTTGGATCCCGTGACAATCTGAAACATGCGCGATTCCAGTTCCTGAACATTAAGGTTTAGATCCTTAGCGATATTTCCCACTGATGTTCCCAGATTCACCTCCTCTGAAACAGAATAAGAGAGCTGCCCTGACACCGCGTCCCAACAACACTCTAAAACAACGAGCACAATACAGGCCACAATAGATTTACTTCTGTACGGCGAGAACATTATTACATCCAGTGAATTCCGTGCAGTGATCCACGAAATAAAAGACAGTATTCCAAGTTCATCAATGCGAATAAAGAAATATTAGACAATATTCCATTTTAGGGACGAGAAAACACGAGGCCTTCGTACACTCTCTTATACGTCCAGTCTGCCTGAAACAAAGCCCTGTGAAATCTCCTCCCCACTAAAACCGGGAGGGGCTTCCAGACACGGTACGCAGTTCGAGATTCAACGGACTATAGTGACACCACGCGGATTTATGAATTAATATCCATCAAAAACCTTGATAATATCACACACAAACAGATCATCATACCGAATTGCAGTTATTTGTCTATTTTAACTAATTATATTGGAAAATATTTAAGTTATTCGGTGTGTTAAATATATGAGAGGATATGGGGGCATTTTCCTCATCAAAACAAAAATTAGCTTGCATCAGCATATTCTTTATTCATCTTTCATCTCAAGATATATTTTTAATACTTAACTAGATTTCACTATGAGAAACATGCAGTTCTAATATCCAACTCCCTTAGATTACTGCAAGGATGACTTTGTATTACTAAATTATTAAATTAATAAACATATAAGTACTATCATAAATTAATTTAAAACTATGCGCATTACAATTATTCATTCGTACAGTATAGCTATCATTTCACATTTAGCACAATAAATAAATAAACAAATTTAGCATTAGTAAACAGGAGAAACATAAGTAGTTGCAGCGATGTTCATCAAAAAGACCACGACCAGTTCAGAACTACGGACAGCTCCACAAAAGCGCTAAAAGTTGGTTTTATTTGTAATTGTCTGCCAATAAAAAGAGGTCAATGAGAGGAAACACCAGAAGTCACACTAATTTTACAAAACGAAAACAAATAATCACAATTAAAATCTTTCAATGTCTTACCTTTTCTTTATTAGGGAGTGTTTGTGTTCTGGTAAAAGTGTCTCCTCCATTAATACTGATCAGTTCTGCATCTGCAGGAGGAAATGGCGCAGGGAAAACCACTACGTCACTCTTCAGTGTGTCGGAGCTAAAACACACGTCATACTGCTGAGTAGACTTGGAGTAAGACCAGCTCCCGTCAGGTTGAGTGGTGATCATCGGGGCGCTGTATCTGCCCAAACTGCTGCTGTCTGTCCTGTGGCATTTTACAGCTATCAAACTGATGAGGCTCAGGAAAAAGATGACGGACACGCACACAATGGCGATCAGCAAATACAGATTTAAATCCGAGAAACTCTCCTCCTTTATCGGCGCGTGTCTGAATGGAGTCTTGACGTCACCTGCGCTTTCAACAACCACAACATCAATAGACACAGTCGCTGACAGTGAGGGCTCTCCGTTATCACAAACCAAAATGACCAGCGGGTGAGTTTTCAGGTCATTGTCACTCATTCTCCTCTTAGTCCTGATCTCCCCGCTGCTGGTTCCGATTCGGAACAGATTGTTTCCTTTGGGTTCAGAGATGTGGTAAGACAGCAGCGCATTGTAACCAGAATCTGCATCTACAGCCCTGATCTTGGACACAAAGTAGCCCGCATCAGCAGAATAGGGAATGTTCTCCGTGTTAACGGAACCGAGCTCGGAATAGGGCGCGAGAATCCCGGGACTGTTGTCATTCTCATCCAGGATAAAAACATTGACAGACACGTTACTGCTGAGCGGAGGAACACCAGAGTCTTTAGCCTGAACTTTAAACGCAAACGTTTTTATCTCCTCACAGTTAAACGACTGTAAACTGTGTATATCGCCACTGTCAGAGTTTATGTTTATCATGGATGTTACTGGGCCGCTTTTCGAGTCTCCTCCTTTGTGCACAGCTAAAGAAAAATACTCGTTCGAGCTAAGTTTGTAAGTGTTTATTGAACTTTTCCCAACATCTGCGTCTGTAGCGTGATGGAGAGGGAATCTAACACCAGGCAGTGTGTTCTCCGCAATGTCTAACGTTTGTGATTTCTCACTAAAAGACGGAGAATTGTCGTTAACATCCAGAATATTGATTTCTATTTGATAAAGTTTCAGTGGATTGTTGATAACCGCTTCTACACTGAGAGTACATTTAGGTGCTTTGGCACAAAGCTCCTCTCTATCTATGCTTTCGCTCACATAAAGAAATCCAGTTTTTAGATTTACCTCGAAATATTTTTTCTTGGATCCCGTGACAATCTGAAACATGCGCGACTCCAGTTCCTGAACATTAAGGTTTAGATCCTTAGCGATATTTCCCACTGATGTTCCCGGATTCACCTCCTCTGAAACAGAATAAGAGAGCTGCCCTGACACCGCGTCCCAACGACACTTTAAAACAACGAGCACAATACAGGCCACAATAGATTTCCTTCTGGACGGCGAGAACATAATTACATCCAATGAATCCCGTGAAACGATCCAGGAAATAACAGACGGTATTCCGAGTTCATCAATGCGAATAAAGAAATATTAGACAATATTCCATTTTAGGGACGAGAAAACACGAGGCCTTCGTACACTCTCTTATACGTCCAGTCTGCCTGAAACAAAGCCCTGTGAAATCTCCTCCCCACTAAAACCGGGAGGGGCTTCCAGACACGGTACGCAGTTCGAGATTCAACGGACTATAGTGACACCACGCGGATTTATGAATTAATATCCACCAAAAACCTTAATAATATCACAAACAGATCATCATACCGAATTGCAGTTATTTGTCTTTTTTTTTTTTTTTACTAATTCTATAGGAAAATATTTAGATTCTTCGGTTTGTTAAGTATATGAGAGGATATGGGGACATTTTCGTCATCAAAACAGAAACTAGCATGCATTAGCATATTCTTTATTCATCTTTCATCTCAAGATATATTTTTAAGACTTAACTAGATTTCACTATGAGAAACATGCAGTTCTAATATCCAACTCCCTTAGATTACTGCAAGGATGACTTTGAATAAATAAATTATTAAAATAATAAATAAGTACTATCATAAAATAATTTATAACTATGATGTTCATCAAAAAGACCAAGACCAGTTCAGAACCACGGACAGCTCCACAAAAACGCAAAACGTTGGTTTTATGTAGCAATAATAATATATTAAGCAATTGCAATAAGTCTGTTTACTTCAGCAAAAAAAAAAAAAAAAAATAACTGTTTAGCCACTTTCAACATTTTAAGTCTCAGAAACTTGTAATTGTCTGCCAATAAAAAGAGGTCAATGAGAGGAAACACCAGAAGTCACACTAATTTTACAAAACGAAAACAAATAGTCGCAATTAAAATCCTTTAATGTCTTACCTTTTCTTTATTAGGAAGTGTTTGCGTTCTGGTAAGAGTGTCTCCTCCATTAATACTGATCAGTTCTGCATCTGCAGGAGGAAATGGCGCAGGGAAAACCACTACGTCACTCTTCAGTGTGTCGGAGCTAAAACACACGTCATACTGCTGAGTAGATTTGGAGTGCCTTCATCAGTAGCTGTGATAGTCACGTTATACTCATATGCGCGCTCTCTGTCTAGAGGTCCATCCACCACTAGAGAATAATAATTTTTGTAATTCGTCTCAAGTTTAAAAGGTACTTTTTTGGACACAAAGCAATTAACCATACCGTTTTTGCCGTCGTCCCTGTCAATCACTGACACGAGAGCGATAGCAGTGCCAATACTGGCGTCCTCTTTCACTGTACTGAGGAGTGACGTCACGGTTATCTCTGGCTGATTGTCATTAATATCCAGCACCTCCACCAGGACTTTGCAGTGCGTGGACATCGGAGGCTGTCCTTTGTCATTGGCCTGTGCGCGGATCTCAAATGCATTGTTTTTCTCGAAATCTATATTGCCTTTAACTGTGATAACACCAGTGTTCGGATCAATTTGAAAAATGTCTAAAATGTGATCTTGATCTGTCTCTCTAAGTGAGTAAACGATCTCACTATTTGTTCCCTCATCTTTGTCTGTTGCGTTTATAATTATTACCGTGGTACCAATTGGCATGTTTTCAACAAGACTAGCTTTATACAATGGGCGACTAAATTCAGGAGCGTTATCATTAATATCTAAAACTCTAATAATTATCTGAGACGTGCCTGATCTTGGTGGATTTCCTCCATCTGTAGCGGTAAGCGTGAGCTGGATAACAGGCTGTTTCTCTCGATCTAACGCTTTTTGCAGAACTAGCTCGGCAGAGACACTCTGCTCTCCTCCTTTGTGCACAGCTAAAGAAAAATACTCATTTTGGCTTAATTTATATGTGCTCACAGTATTTTTTCCTACATCCGCATCAGACGCATAAGAAAGAGGACATTTTACGCCTGGTGAAGTGTTCTCGGCGACGTCTAAATACTGAGTTTTAGCACTAAAAGATGGGGCATTGTCGTTAACATCCAGAATATTGATTTCTATTTGATAAAGTTTCAGTGGATTGTTGATAACCGCTTCTACACTGAGAGTACATTTAGGTGCTTTGGCACAAAGCTCCTCTCTATCTATGCTTTCGCTCACATAAAGAAATCCAGTTTTTAGATTTACCTCGAAATATTTTTTCTTGGATCCCGTGACAATCTGAAACATGCGCGACTCCAGTTCCTGAACATTAAGGTTTAGATCCTTAGCGATATTTCCCACTGATGTTCCCAGATTCACCTCCTCTGAAACAGAATAAGAGAGCTGCCCTGACACCGCGTCCCAACAACACTCTAAAACAACGAGCACAATACAGGCCACAATAGATTTCCTTCTGTACGGCGAGAACATTATTACATCCAGTGAATTCCGTGCAGTGATCCACGAAATAAAAGACAGTATTCCAAGTTCATCAGTGCGAATAAAGAAATATTAGACAATATTCCATTTTAGGGACGAGAAAACACGAGGCCTTCGTACACTCTCTTATACGTCCAGTCTGCCTGAAACAAAGCCCTGTGAAATCTCCTCCCCACTAAATCCGGGAGGGGCTTCCAGACAAGGTACGCAGTTCGAGATTCAACGGACTATAGTGACACCACGCGGATTTATGAATAAATATCCATAAAAACCCCGAAAATACCATAAAGAGATCATCATATACGATTGCAGTTATTTTAAATTTTTTAACTAATACTATAATAAAATATTTAGATTTTTTTTGTGTGTATCCAATATATGAGGGAATATGGGGGCATTTTCGTCATCAAAACAAACTATTTTTCATTTGCATATTCTGTTTTCATCTTTCATATCAAGAGATATTCTTTAAAGCCTTAGCTAGATTTCACTACGAATAACATGAAGTTCTGTACTATCCAATTCACTAATATTACTACAAGGATGACTTTATTTAGCTAAATAATTAAACTAATTAATGCACTAGTATTATCATAAATTAATTAAAAATATATGCATATTACAAGAATTCAGTTGTACAACATCGCTGTCATTTCACATTTAAGCAAGTTTAAAAAAAAAAAAAAAAAAAAAAAAAGTTATAGCAATAGGTGAAACAGTAATAGATGCAGCAATGTACATCAAAAAGACCACGACAAGTTCAGAACCAGGGATAACTCAACAACAGCGCGAAATGTTGGTTTTATGATGTAATAGTATATTAAGTATAATATATTAAGTAATTCCTATAAGTATGTTTACTTCCGCAAAACACTATTAACCATTAAGCCACTTTTAAAATTTTAAGTCTCAGAAATTAGTGATACAATTGTAATACAATTGTATTTCAATGAGAAGAAACACTGGATGTCCCACTAATAATACCGGTAATAATAAAAAGAATCGGAATGAAGATCCTTTAATCCCTTACCTTCTCTTTACTGGGAAGTGTTTGCGTTCTGGTAAAAGTGTCTCCTCCATTAATACTGATCATGCTGGTTCCGATTCGGAACAGATTGTTTCCTTTGGGTTCAGAGATGTGGTAAGACAGCAGCGCATTGTAACCAGAATCTGCATCTACAGCCCTAATCTTGGCCACAAAGTAGCCCGCATCAGCAGAATAGGGAATGTTCTCTGTGTTAACGGAACCAAGCTCGGAATAGGGCGCGAGAATCTCGGGACTGTTGTCATTCTCATCCAGGATAAAAACATTGACAGACACGGTACTGCTGAGCGGAGGAACACCAGAGTCTGTGGCCTCAACTTTAAACTCAAACGTTTTTATTTCCTCATAGTTAAACGACTGCATGCTCTCGATCTCTCCTGTCAATGAGTTTACTTTAAGGAGCGCTGCAACAGGTGTACCAGTGACAGAGCTTTGCAGTAAAGAGTATGTTATATGTGCATTCTCCATGATATCCGCGTCAGAGGCCGTCACTGTGGATATAATGGAGCCCACTTTGCTGTTTTCGCTCAGATATGCATAAACTACAGAATTTGGGAAGCGAGGCGCATTGTCATTCACATCAGAGACCTGCACTTGTATTACTTTAGCTCTGGACATTGGCGGTGACCCTTCGTCTTCAGCAATGACTGTAATGTTATACTCCGTGACGTTTTCCCGATCCAGCACGCCATCTAAAACCAATGAATAGTAGTTCTGAAAGGATGACTGTAATTTAAATGGATTTGAGCTGGCAAGGCGAACGCACACTGCTCCGTTTTTACCCGAGTCTGGATCTGATACCGTCATCAGGGCAATTACTGTTCCCTTTCCCGCATTTTCCTCTACTGGGCTAAGAAGTGATGTTACACTCACATCTGGAGGGTTATCATTAATGTCTAGCACCTCTATTAAAAGCTTAGTATGACCTGACATAGTCACTTGACCTTTATCGGTGGCTTGAACTCTAATTTCAAAAGCGGCGTTCTCCTCATAATCAATATCACCCTTAATTCTGACATCTCCACTTTGCGCGTCAATTTCAAACTTCTCCAAAATATTTTGGGGTGTTCGACTTATAAAGGAGTAAACTATCTCCGCATTCAATCCTTCATCTAGATCTTGAGCTTGTAGTCTGGTTACTGTGGTGCCAATTGGCGCGTGCTCGGCTATGGAGACTTTATATAATGGTTTATTAAAAACTGGAGCGTTGTCGTTTGTATCGATCACATTAAATTCGATCATTACGGTACCAGTCCTGGCAGGCGATCCGCCATCAACCGCAGTCACTGTGAACTCGAGTCGCGGCGTCGTCTCTCTGTCCAAAGCCTTCTGAAGCACTAACTCGGCGGAGATCGTCTTATCACTATGAGTTTGTACATCTAAAGTGAGATAATCATTAGATGTAAGCTTATAGGTTTTTACTGAATTCACTCCAATGTCTGCGTCATGCGCGCTCTCTAGTGGAAAGCGCATACCGGGCGCGGTGCTTTCACTAACATTAATCACTACAGAGCTCATAGGAAACACTGGAGAGTTGTCATTAATATCAAGAATGTTTATTCTTACCCGGTAGAGTTGTAGTGGACCGTTCACTACGGCTTCCAGATTAACGGAGCACGAGATTACGCCTGCGCAAAGCTCCTCTCGATCGATCCTTTCGCTCACCTGCAAAGAGCCCGTCTCAATATTTACACTCAAATACTGCTTTTTAGAACCTGACACGATGCGAAAGCCCCTGGATTGCAGATTTTTTACTGAAAGGTTAATGTCTTTAGCTATATTACCTACTGTGGTTCCCTGTATCACCTCCTCCGATACACTGTA